ATTACTATAGACTGAACGTGGCCTTAGTTTTACATCATATACAAGACGAACTAACGAATCATGATCGTATGACTAGTCTAGCAACAAAGCGAGACAAGGTCATTTGGCATCGTTTATTTCGTGAGCTGAAGAGTTGAAGCGCTTCTCGTATTGACGAATTGGTTCTTTGCGCAATCGCTTGAAAGGGAATGCCTAGTGCTTGCCTTCAAACGTTCTCTCGGGATCACGACGACTCATATCGTTGGAGCGGTTAGTTCGAGCACTCTTTGTGCTTGCTCACTTCGTATAATAGCTGACCCGACCCATATATTTCGTTGGCGGACATATCACTTTAGCGGATGTCGAAGTAAACGATGCTCGCGCAACAAATGGAACCGACTTCAGGTATTTGAGATTTCCGCTTGGTAAGGTTTGCTGAATCTTTCGTCAAACATTTTAGGCCATTCCGCGTCAGAAATACGGAGCGAGGGGAGAATCTTGAGGATTGTTTCAGGGGTAATGTACATGCGTGGATCGTTCGAAGTAGATCAGAATAACAGCGAACTGTTATGTTCAGCGTGAAACTATTACTAATAAAGCGAATATATTCCCTATAGGATTTAGTTATGCAGCAGAAATGGCTATTGGAGACAGACATCTATCAGCGCTTGCAAGCTCACGATCGTCGTTGTATAAGTTCGCAAAGCAGCACCGCAATGCGTGTCTCATAAATATTTATTTCAATGTACAGTATTTCAAAGTTTATAATGTCAACATTTAATTGGGCAGAAACGCTACAAGCAAGGCAAAAACCCAAGAACTGGTGTAAAATGAAAGAAAAAACAGTGTTGTCAATTGTCTCTCGTCACGCACATATGGATCATTATGATTCTGCCCAATAGATGCATCGTATTTGAGCCACATTGGTGTATTTGCGTCATGACTCTGCTAAGCGGTTTGTCTTGATAATAAGAGATCACAGAGATCTTTGGTACAGATGCAAAATAGCTTCCATCGCTGTCTATTGCAGGTATGCACATAAGATCCTGAGGGATTTCAGGTTCTCGCGCGTATCTAGTGCATGCAGGGATGTGTCACGTCTTCAAAGGGTAACGCATTTTAAGCAATGCTCTACGAAGGATACGATGTGCGAGACGGAGACGACCACAGGTTGAAAAAGATACATAAATTTGTTAATTTTATTTATGCCGATATAGGGTCCTTTCGTAAAGGGATCATAGCAACTGTGTGTCACGTTCATAAACTCCTGCCGCAATGTGCGCCCTTCAAAAATTTGAGTCTATTTTGTTAGGTAATTGACAAAAAATAGAATGCAAAAGTGAGTAAATATGTACCGCTATAATTACTAAGCAAAGGTCAAAAATGAGCTCTGGAGTTTCTTAAATCACGTTAATTTTATTGATATATCATACCAATGAGTAACGCTTAAACGACGTTACATAGACGATACATACATCTATTTCAATGGGCAGTTTCATGCTCAACTCACGGATGACAGCAGAGAAAGGAATGAAATAGGACGAAAATGCAAATGTTCGCTTAAGCATTTCCTTTTTGAAGCAACTAGCACACTTCGTCGGACTCTTTCAGATCGCGTTCGTAATAGAATCTTCTTTTATTATCAATAACAGCCGACAGTGTGTGTACTGTTTCGTTTTCTTTATATTGAAAAAAATGTTGCCGTGGATCATTGGTCATGAAACAGCTAGCCGTAACAGATATGGCTTAAGATCGCATTGTCCACCCGCAGAACGAAGTTCAGACGTATTATTGCAATGTTACGCTTATCCTAAGTAGAAGGTTGTTCCAAGTTCCGAGGCTCGTCCCCCTGATAGCCTAGGGGGGTAATGTATTTTGGTTGCAACAGTTACTGTGAATTATTTGCACGGCAGACGTGCTACTGTCTTGACTATTGCAAAATGCTGCTTGTTGGTATAAATGTCAGCTTACTAAATGCTTGGACGACAACGCGCTATAGCACACTGCACTTTGCCCCCTTATCGCTAGAACTCAGCAGGAAATTTGGTAAACGATTACAAGTTTTCCAAATCAACTAAAATGAATATTTTTAACACATAGAAGCGTTACTACATTCGCTGTAGATTAAAAACAGGTCTTTGAAACGAAGCCACATATGTTGCGAACGCGAAGCTTTCTGTTATATTTTTCAAAGATATACAATGTTCCGATCTAGCAGAACAAAAAAAAAAAAAAGAATACATAAAATGATCAACGCAGGTCCGGATATAAATGCCATACCTCATACCTGACTTGCTGTTGCAGCTATTTCATTAGCAATACAATCCAGCCTAATTTCCCCTAGAGATGGTGAAGCAACCTATTTCAAAGGTTTCTACATAGAATTGACGGGCGAACAGTTGTTACATTGAACTAAACACAAAAGCAACTATTTATCATTTATTATTAATAGCTATAACACTTTGTTTCTCCGGTAGAAGTTCGCAGTGTCTGAGCGATTGCTTTTTTTTTTTTTCTTATTATCTAAATTCATAACGGTGAACAATGAACTGTTAACCATCAGATGTAAAAAAGTATTGACTCTATTCATTGTCCCTTCATATCCATTTAGAGATTAGGTACGTCTCGGTAGAACTCTATCAGCCGCGGTCACGTGTAGCCTGTGGCCTTACTTTGTTTATTACTTCTTGTATTTAAGGCACACTCTCGCTTAGGATGGAATGAGCATTTTTCCTACCGCGAATTACAAACACTTAAATTGCTCACACTCCTAAATGGCTCCTATTTAACCTAGAGTGAAACATACACTTGCTAGCAATTAGGTTCGTCTGCAATGCATTGAACAGACACACAATCTTCGATCTATTCGTTATCTTTTAAAACATTCATCTTATTTAAAAGTTGGATTCGTGCAAATGAAAGGTTACGTGCACTGTGTACGCTGCCGGTTCATTTTAGATAGCCTGGCTTAACTGCAAATCGATTGTGACTGTTTTTAGTGATTTCTTTAAGACAGTTTAGGTAGAAATAGGGAGCTATAAAACACTACGTACATGTTTACGATTTCGTGTACAACTTATTTTTAATTTACGTATACAGTTCGTTACATACGGTAAGGGACCCAGCAGAAAAAGTTGTTGTTTGTATAGAAACTTAACCGTTGGCATAGCGTAGGATGTGAAGACTGCTGGAACAATGGCTTGTATTCCGTCTAGGCTGCCAAGGCGGTTTGAACACGGCCTGCGTCATAAGCAAGCCAATGCCTGCTAGTTAACTTAGAAAGGGTACTAATCGCTAGCATATTGCTACATAAAACGCTTTCAGTTATTTTTATTCTAAAAGTTTCCCCGCCTGGAAGCTGTTTTTCTTTGATGTTTATGAACAATTTTCTAGTAGACCTCAGCACATCTTTAGGCTTCGATATCTTACTTCTAGATGATGATCTGATCCCTGCTACAATCAGAATTCAAAGCTGTCCTTGATATGAGTAAATTATGGGTCAGTTGATACGGTTAGCAACTCGTTCGCTACCTGACAAACGTTATCCAAGCCGCAACACGACATACGACCCAAAGTCGAGCAATGTCTCTTTTCGTCTATAAGTATTCTTTACCAGGAAGCGGCTGCGGTATTTATGTCTGCGTCTAAGATTTTTTTAATTTGTAAATCCATTTTATTGTGAATTTCTTGTGCCGCTTTCCTTGTTTTGCCCCTGTTAGATCGCTCCTAGCTGATCCCGCTCCTCTCCTCCCTCGTCTGCTTATTTCTTTCGACAGACTCAAACATCGTGTTAGACTGCACCATATACATCCATTCGTCGACGGAATTGTTTTGCGCCGATTTACTTTCTTTTCTCTGATGCGTCCGAATTTTCTATCAAACTCTGGATGAGTCTGTGTCCGAGCTAGCAAATAAGAAAATAGGTAAGGGTCAACTGCGAGCAGAATGAGACAGCGGAGGCATCGGTTACGCATGGGAACGAAGCCCCGCTACAGTTGGACAAATCTGTATGCCTTAAGAAGCAAATAGGCTTTGTCACCATTGTGGGGTGACACTTGATTGGTTAGCGATTTTCGTTATTTTTGCAACCGCTATCGCCGCCAAAACTAAGAAACGTGAAAAGCATGCGCGAACAACAGAACCTTTACCTACATTATTCCTGACCGATTCAATCCTACGCTTTTCGGCTCCGTCCGAATACATAACAACGATGATAACCATAAGGCCGATCCTCTTTATTTAGGTGTCTGAGGAGGTTGGCAGTGTTTACATGGGCTGCATTTTTTTCCAGCAGTTTTTCGCAACGGCAAATGTACAGACATAGATCAAGGCATTTTGGTGGGTCACGAATGTTCAACAGTGTAAGAATGGCTACATGCGCACATTGGCGTTAGCTGCTCCAACTGTGGAAAAATTAGGCTGTCGGGTTGATCAATTAGGCTCCCTATTAGTTAGCTCCCTTCACGTGATACGGCACAATGCAAATTACGCCGGTACCCACCAAGCGGCTTTGCTCGAGAGAAAGGCCTCTCTCAGTGACAAATTGCCCAGGGGCGAGAGATTGCGTTTTCTTCCGCGCATAGCAGCGTGGTTCTGATAAGAAGACGCATTTGGCGACCGCGGTGGTTTCGTGCGCGTCGGGTAGGGCAACTGAAATCGCCACAGTTTCTAATGAGCGGGTTGGCATACACGATAAATAAGCCATTACTGCACGGCGGATCTTCCGCCTGATCACGTTTTATTTTGTTACAGCGTGCCAAACGTTAGTAAAGTGCCTGCCAGATGACTAAGCGCAAACTAGTGAACCTACATTGTGAGGAATAACTCTGAATTTTGGCCTTTTCCCTTTGCCAATTTATACGTGTGGTTGCGTGACGTCACTGACTCCTGGAGAGGGTAGCCGTACCCCCTCTCCTAGGATAAAGTTGTCCTCCAACACTTTTTGGGGGCGGTAAGTTAGTCCGAGTGTGCATACTCATTGGTACAGTGTAACCGATTCTGGCAGCTTGCCCGCTATTGAAGTTAGCGTTGTTGTTCATCAAAAAAGCAAAGCAACAAAGAGGGCGTAAAACGTGACGGACTATACCTTGGGGAGGGGCAGGATCCCTCTTTGTCGTTGGTGCGCCGCAGTGTTTAAATGATTGGAAATTTGTCGTGTCCACGGGATTTTAGGCCATGACAAGTTCCATGTGTCGATATATGGCGTTGTTGAGCATGAGAAAGGAGACTTGCTAGCACAGAGGCCGCTACTTGAAGCGAGACATAATGTGCTTCAGGGATTGTTAAACAAAATTTTTAAACCTGGATTGGCAAATGCCAAATGACAAATTGTAAACTTTTGTGGGATGCATAAATTTTTAATAGACTGAAAAACGAAATACATATACACCGATATAATATTATCGAGTTTAGAAGTGCGATTTCAAAAAAAAAAAAAGAAACTGTGTCACTCATAAGTAGTCTTAATTGTCATCTAACTGCCTTATTGTTATTGTGAGCACACATGCGGTGACTGATATTAAACGACGGATCATTCTCGTAGAGGAAAAAATGTTATAAAAGAGAAAAACTATTTTTCATTATAGTGATTGTAGGTGTGCCTTATTTGTGATCATCGAAGAGTAAGTTTATCCGTCGAAGTATAGATGAACTTATCGATGATCCGCTTCTAACAGGCCGCAGTTTTTCTGTGTATGTGTCGAGTTCGTCGCCGGTGTTATGGTGAGTATACTCAACGCTGAGACGTCAACGTAATATTAACAAGAGTCATTAGTCTGCACCCTAGCAAATAAATTTTCTGTCTAGAGCGTCTTGTCTACGTTGCGTCAAGTAGTCTGAGGAAGCAATATGGCGATGAACGACATTATTAGATATATTTTGAAGCGACATTAACTGACCATGTTAACTTTGTTCGAAAATATACCAGATATATACTATGCCACTTATGTAGCTTACGAAGCTTGTAGCTGAAGTACTTTAGGAACCTCGAGACTTCAACGTATAACTGTATACGTTTATAAAAGTTCCCCACAACAGCGGTAAACACATAAGTTACTGCGGCTGTTTCGCGACGTTTTTCCAAACGCTGTACCAGGCGGTGAATTAGACGATGCATACTCTATGGATTAAGCGGGTAAAAAAAATAAGAATTTTGTTATGCCTAGAAATAAAGAAAATTAATAAATTAATAATTTTAATATGAAATTTTATAAAAATAAATTGAGGATTAGGGATTAGAGTTCATCTAAGGAAACATCCTAGGAAAATAACTACTAATCCTATAATAATTAAAGGAATAGTTATAAAAGGATTTTCATTAAAATTATTAGTTGAATTTATAATTTCTATTTTTATTAAATAATATATAAATCGTAAACTATAAAGAATGGTTATAAAAGTTCTTGAAATAATAAAAATTATAATAATAAAAGAATTGTTAGTAGTATATAATATTTCTAGTTTATGTTATTTTATGTAAAGCAAGCATACGCATTTCCTGATTGAGTAACGCGATGTTCAACTCATTCAAGACTGGTCTTGAAACTTTGAGTGAATCCGTTTCAACTTTACGATGTGTGCGATGTGTTACGGGAATCACAGTTCTGTATAATCACTGATATGAACAAAAAAAAAAAACAGAGTCGTTAAGACCACTTCCTATTGAATGAATGAACGGGCAGATTGAAGAATCTTTCGCCGTTAGTCAGAGTGGTAACACGTTTCGTTCCCACATGGGATAAGTTTTCGCGCCATTTTTTTCCCTCTAGTGTGACTAAAACATCCTAATTGGCTGTTGCTCACATAAGGAATAGGTCAGTTTTTTTTTGGAGCATACGCTGGAGCATAAGCAGAACGCTATCGTACAGCATAATTATGCTATACGATAGCGTTTAACGAGCAATTCAGCTGCAGCGAAGATTTTCGTTCGCAAAGCTGAAACGCCTTCCGAGATGAATGTATTTAGCCACACCCCGCTTCCATTGCTCAAAAAGACTACCTCCGTGGCCCCTCATTACGATATTATCATGTCGCTCGCTGGATCGTATTAAAAAAATACTATGTTCTATTATGTGACTGAATCTAATACTCGTAACTAAGGCCGATGGTATTGATGAGAGTACAGGGAATTTACAAAAAAAAACGATATATGTTGCGCCGACAAAGTGTTACTTCTCGGTTGAGTCTAGTTGTCTTGCAATCATTTAGTATGCAAATTTATTAAATCAGAATATTATGACGCAGCCTGATCGTTTTCAGCCAGCTCGCAGTTAAATGAGATTCATATTATTTAGGTTTCTTTCAAAAAAAAACCGTGTGTCGCAATGAAGGCGTAGCTGTCGCTCAGATCTAACGGTACCAAATCAACTGTTTGTATTCGAATACTTCCTTTTATTTGCTTACGCCATATCTACCAAAGCGGCGTGGGCGTCATGCTATTATGACACCTTGCTCAGTGTTTTAGTCAGCCCATTGGCTTGTAGTCCTTTCTGTTGCGACGACACGCTTTATCTTACCACGTTAGCAATAGTATGCCAACTAACAGCAGAACGCGCCGTGTGGCTCGGTCGTGTCGTGTTTACATGCATCTATTGTAGCTTTCAATGACGTGCCTTCGGGACCGACGCCCCATGCCTGGGGCTACCGATGCTTAGTCGAACAGTACAGAATGGAAGTAATATTAGCACAGCAGCAATGTAATTACCGGGACGAAGAGTCTCAAGATGCAATCGAAAATGTATACTAAGGGCAAAGTGATTTATCGAACTGAAAGGGCCTGACCAAGTATGATACCAAGAGCAGGTTGCCCCTGTTCGCCCAAGAACAATCGGATGTCGTGATGCCAACAGCGAATAGATGGGGTTGAGTGGGGATGACGATTTTGCATTCTACAGAATGAAGAATAGCATCGGCTCAAAGACGAGTGTTCGGTCTTTGTCGTTCTGAATAGAAATGATGACAAAGTGTTAGAGAAGCTGCAATAAAAACGGACCACGGGATACTGAGCCGTTCATCTCCGTTTTTTTTTTTTACTGTCGTTGTTATTATTGGTAGTAGCGTTAATGATGGTTGCGGTAAACAGCGATTCAGGAGGAGCTTCTGCTGCAATGGACGCGCAAAGCTGTTCGAGAAAAGGTAACAAAAAAATGAAAAGAAAAGCTTAGTCCAAATACAGGCGAATTATCTGGACCAGCTGGAAAATATTTTTTCACTCTTGGCAACATTGCGCGCCTCAAAACGCTTTTTAAAAAACGTACGCTACTACGTCGAACTTTAATACATTTCAATAAAATTCTGCTTGGTGCTATATGAGTACGGTAAACAACTAAATTTGTAATACAAACAGCCGCGTTCTCTCTAGCAGAATATTCTAGGACGTTAGGAAAATAACTGAACTTAGTTGCTATTTCGGTGTTGCATTTTCAACTTGAAAAATAAAAAAAAAAAAAAGTTATAGTATTGCTCCTTGAAATTCGTAACTAAGCGTAGAACTGCGGGAATACCTTAATCGCTTTCCTTATATTCCATGTTCTTCGTTGGTATCGCCGTTAGGCACTTACTGACAGACGAAATGAACAGAGTTTCTGTCTATGTTCGAGGTCCAAGTTCGAACAGAGTTCGAACTTGGACCACAGCGTGTCCCTCCCTAAGATTAGCAGACGAGTACGTTGCCCGTTAAGCTGTCACGGGCACCACTTATGCCGCTCTGGGCCACGAGTGATATAATAGCTGGCAAAGTAAAAGATTCCACTATAATGTTGCCTAACGTCGAAGCGTGGGCGAAGCTGATGATAGTCGTAGAGTTGAAGATAATTCTGTACGTCACTATTGGGGCTTTTTGGATACGACTCTATCGGCAATGAAGTCATGCTCGGCCAACACGCCTACAATGATCACTAATTAGCCAAAGAAGGAAAAAATAAGAAAAGATGCCTGCAGCACCCGACGTAACAATGAGATGATAAGACCTCAACGGAAAGTGCTCAGATGTATTCGTCATATAGAAGGTTTTGTGTACATATAGACATATAAAGTCTCAGTTATTGTTTACGTATTAACCGAACAAGGACAAAGATTTTATCGGTCCAAATTTGTCGGCCCGAAAGGTCATTCGGCTTGAGCCATTTTTCAAATCGACTATTTTGACCGTTCTAGGTGGCAGCTATGTACCACTCCTGCGTAAGTAGGTGAAAATATATAAAACATACAAAAAAAAAAGAGCATTGTCAAAAACAAAATTATTCAAATATCAATAAAAAAATGTAGGACTCGTGCGATAGATGTATTTCACAGTATCGAACAAGGGACGATGATTTGTCTCACATGTTGATGCGTACAGCTGGCGCATATCTGTAAATAGTGGTCACGGCTGTCCGTCATTTATTTGTATCTTATCTGTTATTATTATGTGTCATTTATCTGTATTTTACTGTCGGGCGCCATTGATTTGGCCGAATTAAAATCACCGAAATATCTCACTGAACTGCGCCGTCGAACGGTGGAGGTTTAGGTAGCGTCCATTTTCCGAAAACGTAAAGTATCATTGGGAGCCATGTTTATTCTTTCAATGGCCGGGATCGTGAGACATATAACTGAATTGAGCATTCGTAGCTCGGGGACGTGGTAAAGGAAATACTGTTGTTGTGTAATCAAGTTTTTAGTGTTGATTACTTGGCCAATGTAATTTTAACAGATCGATTTACTTATACAGATGTGGAAAAACGGATCCCTCTAAGTAGCGCATGACGCAACCCGTGCTAAGTCGTTCTGACGAGTTACTGCCAAACAAATAGGTCCACTAAAATATGGCAACTTTTAAACAAGGCGCGCAATTCAAAATCAAGTAAATATTTTTGTGAAAAATTATTTATCCACTATTCATGTACGTATATACTGGCTAAAGGATATCGACAGCAACACGACTGGCGTGCATTGGAACTCGATCTTAATTTTGACCGTTTTTACAATCATTCTCATTTGGCGCAAAACCGTTAATTGCGGTACATGCGTCACCAACTAGAAAGAACCTATTGCAGGCGCATTTATATACTATAATCCGGCTGATTCATCCAGCTTTAAGGTGTTGCCCTATTCTACTCATCGAATGCCCATACGTGCCTTACTGCCCATCGCCCTCATAGCAAATGCACTCAGACTAGATGCTGTCTGCCATACTAAGCAATTGGTGAGGATCTTTGTTAGGACACAATTAATAGGATGCGCAATCATTAGTCTGACGATAAAAAGCCTGTCGTGATCTATAGAGCTGGATTCGTTGAACTGAATGTCGGCGTCCAGCTGACGCCTGTCAAATTATACGAAGGCGTCACGTTATCACTCGGCTTGAACATGTCCACTGAGATCGTATGGAGCGCGTCACAGCCGTCCACGTATGCCGCAGGTTCGTAATTTAAAATTGACATGAAAATGCCTCCTTAGATATATACGGCTTTCCTAAATGAGTGCCGGGCAACGGCCGTCACAAATGCTGGCAGCAGATGCGTCAATGTCCCGTTCAAATCTCGTACTGCAATTGTACTCGCGGGCTTTTTTAGTTATCTTAATTATTACACGTGGCTGGAAAATAAGACGAAAGCACGAAAGAAATACAACTCACCTAGTAATTGGATGACGGGCTGCGCTGAAAACTAAAAAGGTTGCCAATTGAAATCCTTCTTTGTCTGCTCAAAGGCTGTACGGGACGTCTTTCGTAGAGCAGATTC